CTTAAAAGCGTTAGCCGTAAAGGTATATCTAACTATATCGTTAATACGTCTCCCTTCCTCCTTCTCCTTTTCCTCTTTAGGTATCTTATTTCGAAAACCCTTCCTCTATAATTATTATATTCTTATTAATCTCTAGCCTACCTTTTTTATTATTAATTTAAATTCTTATTTTTACCTTTAATTTATTATCTTTTCTCCCCCTTTTCTTAATTCTTTTTTTTTATTTTTATTATATCTTCCTTCCGTTCCGCCGGAATCTCCCTTTTCTTCTTCCTTTCCTCCGTTTATAGAAACGTACGTCGCGCCGATCTAACCGACTTAATTAAACTTCTACGGGAGATTTACGGTAGTAAAGATAATTAAAGTAATATAAAGAAGTATTAGCTTAGTATTCTGGATAATTACGATTCGGGGAAAGGTCCGATCGAGCTAGGATCCGATATAGCCTAGGCCTTCCGGCTATCCGCTAATCGATTCCGAACTATAAATTAATAACTATAAGAATAAACGAAGGTAGCCCTACCTAATTCTTTTGTTTACGTCGTCCGTTACGACTACCTTATTAACGAGAATATCTACGTCCTTTATATTATAATTAGTTACGACCTCGAAGGTAGGAAAGCGGCCTTCGAAGTAAACCCGTATTAAACGATAGGCTACCGATCGGTAGGATCGTTCGATTTCCTTACCCGTTAATACCTTCTCGATAACCCCGCCTTTATTTTAGTTTTTACGATCTATACGGACCTAGTAAATCCCGAACGAGTTATTACCGACCCTATAAAGTTCTCTTAGGCTTACTTTACCGTAACGCTATATCTCCTTAAGTTTCGGAAATTATATAGTTTTAATATAGTTAGGAACGGCGCCTTCGATCGGGCGGCGTACGCGCTTAGCTAATTATAACGAACCTAAGGAAACGGTAACCTCGAGTCCGGTATAACCTCTTAATCTACTTATTATATCGCGTTAATAAATTAATAAGATAGCTTTAGTTATAGGTTTTAAAGCGGTATTTTACCGTATCTTATCTTTAAACGACCGATCGAGGTCGCGCGTTAAGCCTAAGAGAATAAGGGCCTTAACTCCTTTAATACTATAAAAGAATACGCCGAAGTAGTAAAGTAGTTTTATAACGTTCGAGTTTTAAAGGAAGGGGTAGGTATCGTTAAACGTCTTCGGTAAGCCGTAAATTATTAAAAGCGAATTAACCTTATTAACGCTATAGTATCCGTTTAAAGTACGCCGATCGGCGAGCCTCCTAGCCGTAAATCCTTTATTTGGTTTATCGTATAAGCCGAAGTCCGTCGTTCCTTTATAACCTTAGTACTTAATCCCCCTTACTTTTTCGTATTAACGGATATAAACTTCCGTTATAATAACCTCGTTAAGGTTATAACGCGCCTCCTTCTTTCTCCCGGACTAAAAAGAATTAAGGCTTTTTAGTCGGAGGAAACTTCTATACCGTATAAGTAAAGGAAAGATACCTAATGAATCCTTAGGACGCGCCCGTTCCCTTACTATCCCCTTAATTAAGAGGGCTAGGACGAGATTAAGAAGAAGGTAGCCGAAATAAAGAAGGAAAACGCCGATCGGGTTAGATCGGCGAGGATAAACCGGGCTAAGTTAGCCGTAAAGTAATAAAAGAGCTTCCTTATAATATTAAACGAGAAGTTAAAGACGCGGCCGTAGTAATTAAATAATAGCCGGAGGAATGGAATTTCGCGGTAGTTTTTAAGGGGAGATATTAATCGGGACTTACCGTACTATCCTTTTTAGTTTAATTATTTCTTACGGTATAATTAAACTAAGGAAGCTATAATAATACGGTAAGATATACCCTCTTAATATATTACGTAATACGTTACGATAAGCCTTATACCTATATAAAATAACCATAGCTTCCGTAAGTACGGGATATATTATATTTATTATTTAATTTACGACTTAGCTAAATTACTATCTTTATTATTTTTACCTTAATTAAAGATTCGTTTTTACCATTAGATTCGTCGTTCTCCGATTAATATATTTATTTCGGTTATAAGCGCTTAAGTTACTTCGTCGTACCGCTATAGCCGGATAAATAACTTTTACGTTTTACCTTTTTTCTTTCCTTACTTCTTATACCTTCGGGCTAGCGATTACTATATCTCTACGACTAAGGGGCATAGCTAAGATACGATAACTATATTAGATTCCTTGCCTCTCGATTAATATAGCGATATTAATTTTATCTATCTTAGATTATCGTACGTACTATAGTCTTCGATAGAATATACTTTCGAGTAAACCTATCCGGGTCTCTAGTATCGCGTACGCTCTGCTCCTCCTTAGTAACCGGATAAGTAACGGTAGTAACGGCCGATACTTTAAAAAGAATCGAAGTATTTTTTAGTAAACCTATTCTAAGCCGTATTACGTACGTAGGTTAGGTAAGGAATTATACGGCGAGCTCTATATTTTCGATTACGGATAACCGAGGTAGTTCTTAAGGCGACGGTAGTAAAAGTAAGAACGGCTGGCGCGACGGAGGTATTAAACGAAACCGCCGGAACGGCCGGGCTAGGGGAAGTAACGAAAGCGATAGTAATTCCGGGAACCGAAAAAGCGTTACGGCTTCGTTTTTATTCTCGTTCTCGTCCTACGATATTATTACGGATCGGTATAATAATAATAACGATCGCTTAGGTTACGCGAGTAACGGCGATATTATTAAAAAACGTAACTTAATATACGCGAGTTTAAGCTCGGGTTTTACGCGAGGAAACCTTACGAATAATTAATATAACCGGGCGGTCGCTTTTTTCGATTATTCCTTCGTATAAAGAAAGGGAGTCTTCCTCGGAGGATTCCTTCTTAAAAAACTTATCGGTAGAAACCTTAATAGCTCGGGATACGATACCTTAAGAAACGCGAGTAATTAAGGCTTAGGTACGTTACGTAAAAACGCTAAGTATAATTATATCGACGTCGCTTTCGTCGATAAAAAGGTCTTTAAGGGGCTAAGCGATAACTAAGGCCCCGGACCCGGGAGTAAAGGGTATCCTTTTACGGCGAGTAAGGCTACCGGCCGAAGCTTTAGTATTATTCCCCGTACGAATACGGGAGATAGGTTAGAAGCTCGCGGTAAAAAAGCCGAGTATTCTTTACTCTAGCGAGGCTACGATACCTTAGAGCGTTAATATTATTTTACGAAGCTTTTAAGTATTAAATATATTAAGAAATCGTTAATTACGGTATTATATTACTACCGGTAAATAACGAATAAATAATAAACGGATTATCTCGAATAATTTCTTACCTATTAATATAAAATAACTAACGATCGCTTTATTATCCTAAGATATTTTAATATTAAAAGTAATATATTAATTATAAATAATAACCCTTACCGCGATAGGTTAAGATATTATCCTACGGTCGCTTAATAGAAGTATATTACGACTTATATAATACGCGAGCTACGCTTTACGTAAATTATAAAAGAAGCGGACTTATCTTACGATAATAAATTAACGAAGCTTTATTAATTATATTAGCTTACGATCGCGTAATTAATGGAATTATTTAATTATAGTTAGGGGTATATATCTATAATAAATAACTTAGGAAAGAAAGGAAAAGAAAGAGGTACGTTTAATTCGAAAGCGAGAAATCTTAGATATATTTATACTTAACCGCTTTCGTAGAAAAAACGGTAGAATCGGTTAGCATAGGTAACGCGCGCGAGCGCGCGTAATAGTAATAAAAGAGATTAAATCTTAGTATTAATACTAGAGCTATTACTATTATTATTACTATATTACCTATATAACTAACTACCGCTTAATCGAGAGCGAGTAATTATACGAATAATTATACGAGTAATTATTTTTATTTATAATAAACTATAAAGTATTAAGTAAAAGGTACGAAGAGTATATAACTTAGGAGAAAATACTACTAGTAATAAACCGGAATATATACGAATAAGGGAATATAAGGAAGCCCGAGATAAGGCACCTAATAATCGATTAACCTTAACGAGGTATAACGAAATTAAGGAATAATTCCTTAGGTTATTATCGTAAGTAAAGGATTATAATTAACCTTATTATCGTAAGCTTAACTAGGGGATATATTACGTAGGCATATACCCTTAGTAGGAACTACCTAGCTTACTTAAGCTAGCTAAGTATTACTATATATACCTATAGATCGCTTTATATTCTTTAATAGCTTTCCTTCTTTTCTAGTTAGTTAATATATACCTTCTTACCCTTATTCCATTACTCTCTTTGCGAATAACCTATTAACCTAAGCTTAGCTCTCGCCAGCTACGTAACAGCCAAAAAATAGTCCAGGCTCTTTTCATCTCGGACCTATCGATCAAAACCTGACGCCATGTTGATTGACGGAGGATCCCTCCAGCGCACAGTGAGTACCTGTCGGTACATCGATACCAAGTTTTGATACGTGAAGTCCTCCCACGGTATCCATCCCGTCACAGGTATCCAATCTCGGCCAGATGTGTTCTGACCCCAAGAAACCGAGCTTGAGTCGAGCTCAGGGTTTGGTTCTGCCAGAATGTCGTGAATGGATGGCGGCATTGAGGCAACTATGTTCAACCAAAAGTCGGATGGCTCAATAGCTTTGAAGTGTACTAGACCCAATAATAACAGGTAGAGATTAATTGGCGCTATCTTTGCTTTAATAGGGAATCATTTCGTACTGAGTCTATGTAGAAGACCGTGCTTTCACGATGGATGCCCTCCATCAAAGTCGCCGAAACGCACCACGAATCGATGGTGCTAGACAGAAGGGACCACACAGCTGTGGTTCGTAAATACGCACGCACCATGATTTGGTGGTGCTATACGAAAAGTGACAACAAATTGATGGTTACGACGGCATGTGATTGCGCCCGGCGCGGGGAAACACTGATCCGTACATCGATGTCAAACCAATGTGACCCCCTCACCACTCGGTTATGATACCACTTTACCATATTCGAAGTCATGGCGTCAACCGACGCCTCCCAGGAGGTTGCAGAAGGGTCTGTCTCGGAGAGAGGCTTTTATTGCTGGCAAGATACCTCTGCAGGAAACCGGGTATCGGAATTCGCCAAGAGAGGTTTCCCTTACTACACAGAATATGGGCTGGATTTCCTAACCGACTTCGCGTTCAATCCCGCAAGTTCAGCACTCTGCTTGTTGTCTCAGAAGCTAATATCTCATAGCGCATTCAACACATATTGGAAGCCTATTTCGACCGATGTCTCCTTGCGCACTGGCTCAGATACGAAGCGTTACCCGATCAGCATATTGAATGCTTTAGGCAAGGCGGGCCTGAAGCTGGACGGCGGGTTTTCACGGTGCATGTGTGTTCGAAAGGGTCACAAGTCGCTTATTATGCTGGATCGCATCTTCATAAATTCAAAACGACAAAGGGCTTGAGATCGGTTTTCGAGGTGTCACCGGAAGAGCTGAGCCGGGCTGGTTGTGAACCAGAAGCACCCAACTTTCCGAACGGAGGCTTGTGAGTTCAGCGCCTACACCTTTTGTTGCGTTTCTGACGACTTGGCAAGAGTTATCCTCGATGCTCGTATCTGCTTTGAAATCAAGCAAGGATATACTATGACGTTTATGTTTGCGACAGAAGATGTATTGGTCAAATGGCCCAAGATAGTCCTCCCGAACTCTACGATACTCAGGGACCGGGTGGCTGAAATAGAGAACATAAGCCCAAAGATAGGACTGAACTTCGCCTTCCAGGAAAAAGAAGCTAGGGAAATAATGAAAGCATTATGAAAAACGATACATAGTAGGACCGTTGCTAGGAGGGTTGCCATCATACCCATCCATCGGCCACTGATACATATCCAGAGGGACCGAGTTCATAATATGCATCAGAGGCGCGTCGAAGTTTTCTAACGCATCCAGAGACGAACCATTCTCCTGGGCAGATTCCGTCGACAAGTTTGAGACTTGGCCTTGAATGCCTATAGGATCAAGACACACCGTTACTCCAGGGGATATAGCCAAGCAAGTTCCGGTATCTGTCGTGGGTGTAATGTATGACTGCAACACGTTCTCGCGGGGGTCGCTTGGGATATTGCTAGGAGGTTCTTGCGGGATCTTTGTCCGTTTCAGGGCTCCAGGATTTGATCTACTGGTGTCCAATGGGTTAGCAGCCATTCCTGCCTCGTCCCGTGATCGTTTCTTTCTCTCGCGTAGCGCAATATCGAGTTTAGTGTCGGAAAGTTTAGTCAAGTCCACGCATGTCTCCTCCATGTATGCTCTTTTACGCCTGCTGTCGCTGGTGCACTTCTCTGCGTGTCTTTTGAACTTTCGGACGGTTCTAAATACATCATGGCAGCACACACATACTTCGCGACACTCTGTGTCTGCACGTCTCGAGTATCAGCTTTATCTCTGTTTCCTAAGCAGGAGGAAATACCTTGTTCATGATGTCGACGGAGCTTTTGCTTTGTCGAGAACGGCTTGGTACGTGGGCAGGAAGGGCAAACAAGTTTCTGCGACAGGCTGCGAAGTTCGGTATTTGCTGACTCTGGCGGATGGTTGGGTATGTCTTCGCTATCGTGCTCGCTATCATGTTCACTATTGCTCTCGGATGAAATTTCATCAACAACTCTATCGTGCGCTTGATGTTTCAGTACTTCAGCTTGCAAATCCCCGATCATTCGCTCTCGGATCTAAATATGCCCCTGTCAGTCATGCACAACAGGGTTCTCATTAAACTGACTCGCCGTTGTTCTGCATGATCATCAAGGTGTCTGTTGAGGTCAATGCTCGATTGGAAAAAGGCTGAGCAAGTGCATCGTAGTTGTTTTGCAGCAGTAGAGCGCATTGAGGGCGAATCTTGCAGGATGCGACGAAAGAAAGGGAGGTGCTGACTTGCGGGAATTGTCATGCTGTCCTGCTGCCAGACCGTTAGGTGATCGCTGACGTCAGCAAGAGCCTCTATATTAGTCAGTGTTGGTCGTCTGACCCTGCTTGGCGTTGGCTCTGAATAAAGCGCGTGCTTTCTTTTTCAACTTAAGAATTTTACCGTTCCTCCTTACAATACGCAGTTCGGCATCTGTTATCGCATAGGAGTGGCCATGGAGCCCGACAAGTGTGAAACCTGTCGTGGTAACAAAACGGTTATGGGTATTACGTGCCCGACCTGCGGTGGTCGGGGCTAAGCGCCTTTCGAGGTGAACATCTTGTGTCGAGAGGTATGTTGCTCCCCTGCCTCTTCTTTCCTCACTGGTATCTAACATACACTATAAGTGCTCGGAGTTCAAGTCAGGAAGCGCGGGAGAGTGGTTACATATACCAGGGAGAATTCATTAGGCTACGGATGAAGTGCTTCGCGCCATGGGCATGCAGTAACGTGTGTCTTATAGACACTGCTGTATCACCTCTTTTGCGTCTCTTCGCTTGTACAAACTCGGAAACCACGCAGCGTGCCAAAGACACACCAGGTCTGCCATATCCACCAAGACTCCGGCGCCTTTCCAATTCTCTGTCCGTAACGGCACCAAGCAGAACCCAGTGAGCCAAAAAAAATCCAGCTGCGCTTGCACAACCCCCATATCCAGGGCATGATCGCTGTCGGACACATATTCATATACGATGGCATGATAGGATTCACTCGGTGAAATTTCACGCATATCGCCATCCAGTCTCATCTCACGAGGGCGCAAGATCGAAGGGAGTGCGCAGAGCTCCTTGCCACTCATCATTTTCCAGCCGTAGCATTTCCTCAGATGAGGCACGGCACTGTATTTCACCGCGCCGGGTGTCTCTCGAAATAGCTCTCGGTTGAGACCCTCATTGGAAAAGGCATGGAGATTGAGAGCCGCATCGCGCCATGTTTTCGGCTTTGGATTCAACCAGATGGGGTTGGAAGAACGTTCGGTTGCATGTCGCATCGTTTCGAGGAGTGAAGCGTTTTGGCATTCCCGCTGGATAGCCCAGTATCGCGTACCCTCCGGCGGGTGGTTGTCCCAGAACTTTGTTGTCAGCGAATGGCCTTTGCTGGGAGGGTGTCATACGAAACATACTACTTTGAGCGCGTATACCTGGCCACCGGCATCTACTTTCCAGACGATGCCGTCCTGCCCATAGCCTAACAGGTTAGTAAAGTTGAATGCCCCCTGTTGCTTGAAACGTCCCAGTCGAGGCCGCCGGAGGTTTGCCCAGGCACAAGCGGTTGTGGTATCGTCCATCAATTTCTCATCGAGGAATGGTTGCTCCTTCGCGACACGACATCTTCTTTCAAAATCCGATAGAATGGAGTCGGGTTTGGGGGGTTGCCATCGTATACGTTCGGACAAAGACATGATGCTGAGATGAAGGTCGAATGTGCCTCAACAATTGACTGGTTTCACGTGGTGGATTGCTTCAGTAAAATATAACTCCGCCTCCTCTGTCCGCTGACCACGTGAACAACCCCCACTTTATGCAACGCATGAGCCACAATTCCGATACCATCTGTTTTGTGGGGCCCATGAACCCCAAATCTGTGGTTGGGCCCATAACCGTGGTGGACCACCCCACCTGTCATAGACCGCACTATTGTGGTAGATTCATGGTAGTGACGTAGCTGCATTTCCGCACATGAACCACAAGAACGAGTCTATAGATCAGCCCAACTAGTCCCCTGAACCTCACCCCAAAGCGGGTCGCGGCTTCCTAAAGATTCTATTGGCTCCTCCCAAAACAACCAGACTCCACTAACTGGTTAGGGTGAGGTTCTTCAGATGAAGTACCGCCGCTACTACCGCTACCACCGCTACTACTGCTACTGCCACTAAGTTAATTGTACTACCAAGTCAATTATACCACCAAGTTAACTGCACTACCACCACTACTACCACCGCTTATCATATTATTTAAAGAATAGTCTCTAGGGTAGCTTTTTGTTCCGAAAACGGATCAATTAAGTACACGTTCGTACGGTAGTTAGAAATACATCTAAAAGGAATTTTTAAGATCCCCTATAAGAAATAGAAATAAAGTCTGGGTAACAAGGAAAAAGCTCAGTATAATCGCCTAATCCGGTTAGAGGTTGGGGTAAGATATAGGAGACTAGTTGAGCTGGTCTAAGACCTCCCCTTTTCTACTTGGTACTCTTATATCTTCCCTTTATATATCTTCTAACCTATACCTATTAGTACCCCCTCTAACCATGATTTCTAATAGGAGCTATGTATAGGTGGCTTGCTACGTAATACTTATATAATATAGCTCTTAATTCTCTTTTTTTTATATATATGTAGCTCGTATTTCCTTTATTTATTTCTTTTCTTTTTAGATAGTTAGTTAATTTACCTTCTTTTTCCCATATTCTATTACTCTTAGAAGTAACCTTAGTACTTACGTAGCTCTCCTAATCTACGGAATAGAATATCTATATTAATATATTCTATATAATTCGCAAGAAGTCTAGCAGCTTCTCGACATCCGATGACTTCCTCGCGTCTGGCCATGGTATAGTAATAGGAAAACCTAGTTTAGCTTCAATAATCAGAGCACGCGATAAGATGTTAATAGTATACCCTCCAATATAGGCTATGGCACTATACCAGTAAACGTAAGAGAGAATCTATCTTGACGTGCGTAGGCGTAACCTGAACGGGGATCGATAAGAGGTTCGCAGATGTACAGAGGGTGAGAAAGAGGTGAGAAAGCGAGCTCGAGAGGGAAGGAAAGGGGTTATGTATTTACTCACTATTATCGAACTATTGTAGCACCCGGGTTCCCGAAGAAACGGCGGTAAGGCGCTCGCTCCGTCCGTGCTCGTTCAGTTCCGGGGTTTGGTGCTGACGGAATACCATCAGCTGGTGTATTCAACGCAGCAGGCGCTCCCTTGGGTCGTTTTGGGCTGAACATTGCGTGTTACGGTGTCGACGAGTGTCGGTGCGGACAATCGAATATGTCTGCGAGTAATACCCTCCAGTATAGCAAGCTTCATGATTCTGCCACCGCATGTATGGCAAGAAGTCCTTCGGTTGTCGAGGTGGTAAAGCTCGAGGTTGCGATACCACTCCCTTCTCGGCACCTTCATCCACGCCGGACGGCCTTATGTGGAATCCGAAGACCCGAATAAGTCCAACTTGTCTCTCCTTGCTGATTCCACTGACATCCCAGACACGGTGTTTTGCTTCCACTTCTCGAATTATTAGGATAGAAGGTGCCATATGGCCAATTACCTGCGCTCGTCCTTTCCATTGTCTCGCCTCCTCAACTTGTTATCTCCTCTTTTGGCGTCAGTCTACTCTTGCGTGAAACGCTGCTCTCGTACGACAGAGTGGTAAGCAGACGCTCGAAGGTCGACATATACGGGCTCGGTACGACCGTCATGGGATGTTTAGGAAGACTAGCACCTGAAGAGGAGAGGCAATTGTACCATTGGTACCAGAAGCTCCAATTACTTCTAGACGAGCACGTACTTTGCTACGAATCCATGCTTGCTGGCGAGGAACTGATAAACAGCAGACACAGTAGGAGCAGGTCTCCACTTAAAGGCCGTCAGTACATTCATACCCGATATCCTGTAAATCATTAAACTTGCCGTGCCTCCATTTGCTAGAACACAATGCAGACGTGCTCCAACTTCAGCCAGTTGGCTCACCAGCAGCACCGACAACGGCCACGTCCGCCGACCCTCCGAAGCGCTGCTTCGCCCTCTCCATGTCCTCCTCGGTCCAGCGGTAGTTGTTTGCCGCGAGCTCAGCAACCATCTCCCTGTGTTGCTCGGCCGTCAATGTGACGCGCTTGCTGTTTGCGAGCTGCCAGTGCACGAATGGATGCGTGAGCCCATGGCTCCGAAACTCGACCAATCTGTCGCTGAGCTTTATGTCGACCGGTGCGTTGAACTTCTCCAGCTCCGAGGGTTGCTGAGCCAGAACCTGCTCGAGACCCTCGAGCTCACGGCCCAGGACCTCCTTATCAGTTGTCTCGAACGATCCGCCGAACCCCTGGAGGAGAACCGCGCCGCCGTCGCAGACTAGAAACGAGTGCCTCTTCAGTGGCCCGCCGTAGGCGATGCCCAGCGCGTGCAGGCGGCTCAGCGTGTCTTTACACTTCTCCAGGTCTGCGGGTCCCGCCTCGCGAGCGTCCGCGATGCGCTCGAGCAGGAAGCCGATCACGCGCGTGCCGTTATCGGTGACGTGGGCGAGGAACCGGGGTGCCATGCCTGGGTCGCGAGCCTGGATGATGGAGTAGACGTGGCTCTCGTCCGCGATGCCGTGCGCGTGGCCCGGCGGCCATGCCCAGACGCCGATCACCTCGGGCCCTAGCGTGGCGGTGGCCATGCCGGCGGGGGTGGGGAGGACTGCGGCGGAGATGTGGTTCATGCACTGGATGTCGGTGGCCATGCACGGAATATCATCCTGGTTGTCGTCGGCCTGGCCGCTCTTGCGGCGAGCGTCCAGCGGATCCAACAGGTCCACGAGGTCGACTTTCCTGTCGCACCAGGAGGGACCGCCGTCCAGCAGCCCCACGGCCTCCTCCAGCTGCGCCGTCTCCGTCGAGGCGAGAACGAACTTGCCCTCGGCGCTGTCGTCGGGGCTGACAAGACGCCCGAGGTTCCAGTCTCCGGCGGGGACGGCGTCGAACGCCAGGAGCTTGCCGCGGTGGTCGGGCACGCCGCTGGCGCCCTTGGGAGGATTGGGGGCGGTCAGGTATCTGATTACCTGGCCTGGATGGGAGTCCCCGGCCCCGCGGGCTGGGACGCGGATGCGATATAGGATGGGCTCGTTGGGCCAGCCCTGGTGGACGTCTTCAACAGTGAATGGGACTGAAGAGGCCATAGCCGGTGTTGGGCAAAACAGAAACAATTGGAGGTGAAGCAGACAGCTCTTCAAGAAGCATGGAGGAAGCTGGGAGGATCAGACCGGGGGTGGGGGACTGTGCTCTGTGCTCTCTGGGAGATATCTTGGGGAATCGGCCGTCATTTTATATTCACGCCTGTAGAGAGCAAAGTCTATCACGCTCTCGCCGGATCATTCAGTCAGACAAGATGCCACTCGTGATATGCAACATGCTTAGTCTGGCAGCTTGCATTGGCGGAGTTTTGTTGGTCAATAAGTAGCGCTGTGCAGTTCCGCATGGTGCCTAGCTTGGACGAGTGCGTGGACAAATTAGGCAGGCTGCAGACACACCAGATCGGCATCGTTCGTGTTACACCATTCAACCTCGGTGGGCTGACTAAGCTCTTGGAGGCTTAACAAACCACCAGACTTTGACCCAACCTTGCTGTAGCTTCGCCGCACTCTGCGTGCTGGATCATCCCTCAGGGCGTGATAATTGACTCTATCCATAAGTTCCCACTTCTGGCTGTGGCCGCTCATGTTTCGTGCCGGTCCGCCTACCCGATAGTTAGAACTGCAGTGGCATTGGATAGTTATTTTATGACACAAGAAGGATAGAATGACTGTCTTAGTAAAATTTCACGAATGGTGGCTAATGTACACCTGTGTTGTCTCAAAGAGTGGATGCCGATTAGGGAGCCAACCCCGCTGATGACAATAGTAAAACCGCAGCCCTCCGGCATCCAGCGCGGAGCATCAACGAATGGCAGACGGTAGTAATTTAGCTACTGATCCGGAGTCCCCCCGTCCCCGTCCAAGCAGCCGGCCAGCGGCGTATAAGAGAATGATGGTGCAGAAGGGGAGGCGTGGAGGGACGAGAGAGAGACCATGCATAGGAAATCAACCAGGACCTCGCCCACCTCCTCGCCGACCAGCCGATGCCGCCCTAGCGTGGAGGGGGGCGATGATTGGCGCATGGGTACGAGAGATACGTGTCGGGGGCATATGTGGTATAGCAATCCGGATAGTATTTGCACCGTGGCTCCTTAACGACGAAGCCGCTGATACAGCCGCAGGAATAGTAGATCTGAGTCATTTGACACATAGTGGGCGATGAGGAGAGATATGTGTGATCGTCGAGAAATGGATGAAGTGGGATCTTTTGACTTTACAATAATTAGAGCTCCGTGATTCCAATTTTGCAACTTTGATAATCTCTGACGGCTCTGCCTGCTAAGGTCCCCGGGAAAAGAGAGGACGGGTACTTACTGAGAGGCCAAGGGACTTGAAATAAGGTGAAGTCAAAGGTTGGAGGCTGTTGCGGGTAGTTAAAAGATAAAAGGGAGTACTGAGAATGAGCTGTCGATTGAGGAGGTTTGTGGTTGATGTTGGTGATGGAGAATGCTTCTTCAGACTTGACTTTTCGGAACTCCTCATGCATCTTGATACTCGTCGAGGCCACTGTTCAGACTTGACGACGACAATGACTTATGACGGCCCTGCTTTTCGACCAACACACTTTTTTAAAAAAAAAAACTGGTCATATCTTAGGCCTAATGAGGTATTTGAGGATTTATAACAGCAGCATCGTTGAATGTGATGAGGTCGAGACACCGTTCAAGTTCTTAACCACAAGTTTCTGACTTCCGGACCAGCAGTCCGCCGAACCAACGGTCAGCCGAACCAACAGGACGCCGAAAGTGGGTTTGTGAAGTTGAAAGTGTTTCGAGTAACCGCAGAGACTCGCGCTTAGAGCGGCTAGGAGAGGTGGCTCACATGAATGCTTCGGCACTAAAAATGGTCTGTTATATTAGTTAAGAGGCTTTCTAGCCCGTACGTGACTCGGAAGGGGTCAACGGAGAGAAAGTACGGCCTATACTCGCGATGAGCATGGAGGAGAAACTGGAAGAAAGTTGAGAGGGTGAGAGGGTGAAGAAATGGAGAGTGATCGCGGGACCCGAACTGGGTTTTTATGAGAGGACAGTCGGGTCGGCCCAAAACTCTTCCCTCGCGAAAAGTTGACATTTTTCATTTTCAGAACTCCAGGGAGTCACGAAGCACGGCCGACTTGTCCAAACCAATTTTGGCGACTTTCCTGGTCACGGCCTGAGTAGCGCCTGAGTAAAGCAGCGAGAGGTGGTGTGGGTGACTGGTGGTTGGCGAGGGCAATCGATGCGTAAAGCAACAACGCTAATCCGCCATGATGGTTCAAATATTATCGTACGCTTATAGGGTTAACACCAACTCACCCTACTATAAATCAACCCCCCGGTAATTCCACCGTGATCACCTCGTGAACGGAGTGGCCTGTCCCTTGGGCAGTTCGAGAACAGGAGAACAGTGTTGGCGGTTCCTTCAGTGTGCCGGTCTCGAGCCCGCCGCTTGGAGGAAGGGCATGACCACGAACACCCGCTTTCCTTCCATCCCGCTCCTCCTATATCCTCCGCTCTGGCCATTCCTAAGTCTGGAGATCCCTCCTCGGTTTCCCGACCGGTTCTCAGTATGGATGCGGTATGCGCAACCTGTGATGGAGGCGCTTGGTGGTCGTGTTCTGTGAGCGAACGGCAATCCTGGTGTCCGACTACCTACCTAGGCCCCGGGCGTGTTACCTATATTCGACAACTACCCAAGATACCCGACTGCTCATGAGTCATACACGAGATGGGTTGGCTCAAGAATAAAAGTACGACTTCGGGAGCATGAGTAAATGTGTAAATCCCAATCAAAGTGTCACCACTGCCCAGTTGGTGCTCAGCAAACCGCAAAATTTCCTCCAAATTCTCCTCCACAACCTCTGCTGTCGCTTCTACGGCTTCCACCTCTACCGGAGTTTCCTTATCGTCCTTATCACTTCCGGCCATGAATGCTCCCTTGTGGGTGAAGATTTCTGCAACCTCTAGTCTATTTCTCCCCGGCCTGACGACGTGAACCCGGAAGGCGAATATCACCCCTGGCGCGGTCTCATGCGAGTCCACGGCTCCGTACTCGAGAACTTGACAACCCCGCATACCGAGATCTGCGACCAGAGGGGCGAGTCGAGAGGTTCCCGCAGATAGGCTGCCGGCCGCGGATACGTCGTTGCTCCGTGAATGGATATGATCTCGCTCCGTCGGGACTTGGATTGGTGGGAGCGCGGTCTCGGGGGCTTCAGAGGGGTCTAGCAGAATCGTGGTGTGGTGAGCGGCATGGGAGAGGACCACCCCTACCGGTAGGGCCTCCGGTGAAAGGGTGAAATCTGAGGGTAAGAACTACGTTCTAACTAGGGCTATTGCGAGAATATGCAAGTACGTTCTCTGGGGGATCTTATTTCTCGGAACGGAGTAGAATCGAGGTAATTTTTATACCTGATGTAATATTTTATTTCCCACTTCGCTAGGCTTGGGAGCCTCGTCAGGTATAATAAATACCACTGAGCGGTAATCATCCACAATCTGTTCCCTAAGTTATGTACCTTAATATCCTGTAAGGGATACCAATACTTACAGCTCTACTTGCCGAGATAATTAGCTGAATTATATTATCTCTCTTAATCCCTCTAGACGAGTGTGATATCTTGCGATTCATGCTAAGTTGAGGGTGGCAGGTAATAAGGCTCGTAGGCCGGGTATGCAGTCGGTTTACAATAACTGTCTTGTGTACATCCACATTTATTAAAGGAGCTAAGCCAAACCCAGAGATACCACAGTGGGTTTAAGGCGCAATTTCATTGCCATTGGCGGTGATTTTACGAATCTGGGTTTTCGCTACACATACATGAGAAAGTCTACGAGAACTAATTCCACTGCACTAGGGCATTGCCTAATTGAGTAGCGAACTAGGCTTCTAGCTAGGTAGTTGAAAACAACTACAATATATATATATATATATATATCTTGGCACAATCGTCAGTTGGCTTTCCTGGCTCAGCCTCGGACGTTAACATCTGGCCTTTGCCGTTGGCATCATCGCAGCACTAAGTACAGCCTAGACAGCAACACTATTATCAATTAACCTGGACCCAGTCAGCCGGTTCGCCCAAACAAGCCGAAGCTGATATAAAGAAGAATGCTGCGGGACGTGGGCGCAAAGCAATACGAATGTGGAAACGATTATTCGCCGACTAGCATTAAGTAGGTATGTCTTCGTTGCTGCCGGACCTCCTTAGTTTCCCACGCCGTCTTAAATATGGGCGTCCAAGGTAGGTAGGTAAGGCAAACTCATGTAGGAAACACTCCCGTCGTGGATATATTCGCTAGGACAACCCGCAAATCACGATCGTGTAGTTAGAGTAGAAATAGTGCAAGAATGATTTTCTTTGAAGACTAGCCCCTGCCCTAGTACCATACTATATTATACATCTCTTGATTTCTGCCCGATTAACTACCAGGCGATAGCGTGGGCGAAATACACCATTCTAGAAAGTAGATTAGGTTGAAAATCCAAGGCTTATATCATCTGGAGAGTTCTTACTCGGTCATGACTCCCATCTGACCATAGTGCCATAACATCTTACGTTATATGGTATTTACAGATTGACTCTGCAAGACTCGCACGGGGTTATCCTACGGAGCCCAGGGCCCTAAGACACCTACTACGCTTCGTGTAATAATACGGCTGGGGGATGTGGGCATTAGCCGGTCCGGAGGCCCGTCGTCTCCCCGTTGATAATCTCGGCGACAGGGCCCACCGTACGATCGACGAGGATTTGTCCGTGTGGAAAATCTACATAGCCGGGCATATCATGATCATGGGGGGAGGCTCGCTACGATATTCAGCCTTGGATCTGCATCCAGCATATTAGGTAGGTAATTAGTTCCTGCTAGGGATAACGGCGAAATCGTGAGACTCGGCGAGAGAGGTCAGCGAGTCGGTATTACCCAACCGATGTCACGGGATACAGCGTGCCCCTTCATGGTCGAGGCGAAAGGCTGATTGCGCCTTTGGTTCCGTCGTAAAGGGTGGCTGAGTCTCGCCTTGTGAGTGCTAGGAGAGGTTGCTTCGCATACGTACTCCCCAAGGAGATCAGCATAGTCAGATTCTCCGTTTCCGATCGACTAATTGATCAGCTAGCCACGCTTCGCCTCTGCCAAGGGGGAAGGGGTGCCGTGTTAGATTGTGGTTATGCGGAGGAACGAATGGATGGAGGGGCACTTTGCAAGGTTGACTGGAACACCCTCTGCGGATATAGACATATGCTAATTAATATCGCTATATCCGTACCTCGATACACCTGAATTTCTAGGCACGACACTAGCACGGAAAGGAGCCGCCGTGAAATCAGCGCAGGCGTTAACTATGTTCACGTCGCCGATGGAACACCAGAAAGGCCTCAAGTCAAGTGGCGATCTGAAGGGCAGGTTGAAAGCTCCCACGCAACCAACCAGTTTTCTCGCACTCGATCAGTTTCCGCACCCCCCTATGGCTCGTGTATGTCGTGTTCCGGTAGTGCTTTTCTACCGGGAAACGAGCTAGTGGAATACCGGCCCTAATCATGGCGAAACTCTTGACGGGACAGCGTTGTAGCGGGCTTCACTATTCCGGCAGTGTTCCTTCTTAATGTCTGCCGTGAGTATCTGACAGTTACTTCGGAGACGTGGCCGTTGAACCTCGGCCGCGCCTTTATCTGCATCGAAGTCGGTGATTGTCCTTGTCACGGTGCAAGAGACTTCACCGAGTTTTCATAGGCTTATATTGCGTAAACCATAGACATCTACATTCTACGACTTGTAGATATTATAGGCTTATAAGGGCTGATTTCCCACGTGACAGCCTATACCTATATATGACATATATACGGTTAGCTGTTTGGTGGCTATCCAATAACAAGTCCGGCGATATAACCTATTCGAGAAGTCGAATAGGGGCTAGCAGCCGACCTTTGTATGGAAAGGGGCCGTTAATCTTCGGATATTGCGATCTAGCTGTCGATGTTTAAGTAATGAATTCAGCAAGAACTCGCTTTCACAAGTTATTATCTATATAGTGAAAGGCTCGGTCGATTATAGGTGGAGTATATCGGCATAAAAGCCAACGATCAAGCCACTACATTATGTTTGGGATGGCATTGCTGCCTACTGCTCTACATCCCTAACGGCTGCCCCGGTAACGCCTTCGGATACTCCTCCGATCGACTCTATGGTACGGCAGCCCTCATAAACCGGCGCCCCGCCCGTTCACATAGCAACTTGACTCCTTGGTATTGGGGCCTGTTCCAAGATTGTTGGGTCTGTTTGAAATTGCGGGCTCTGCACGACGTTCATCACGGTCGCTCGGACGTTTCGCTCGATGACGGTGACCTGACCCTCCGGTCTCTCGGGGGCAGACAAAACCTTGTTTAGATATCTGAGCCCACTTTGCAGTGCTTTCACTTTCTTCTCTGCTATCGCCTTGTCCACCAATCCGGTCTTCTCTGATCTCACAGGCCCGCCCGTGTTCACCACCTGTGTTATCATGGCCGGGACGTATGTGACCTGTACCGCAGGCTCTTTGGTAGATCCGTCAATGTTGAGATGCTTGGCCAGTGATTTCCTAGCTGTTTCTTCAAGAGTCGTCCAAGCCTGGTCGTACACGTCAGCGGTCGCCTGGTCGGCCACGCTACCCATGCATAGGATCCGCGCAAGGGCCCGATCCTCCGGCTTGCTTAACTGCAGCGATCGGAAGCCCTTTTCGCGAAGTAGATTCAGCCGGCGCTCAAGGACTGAATCGTAGCCCTGACGCGGGGTTCGCCCCCCGGATATTATATCCATCCCGGCCTCAAACCCGGTTTTCAGAGCATCGAAGTTGGACTGGGTCAGCCTTTGCGCGCCATTCCAGTTCAAGTGGCCGGCGGCCCCGGCGACGTCCAATATCTGCTCCATGAAACGGAGTTTAAAGCTCTGCGAGTGACCCCTCATCTTCAAGAGGCTGCCCAGAGAGGCGGGCGCATTTTCGGCCTGAGCTAACTGCGCTAGGTTGAATTCGGCGGCGAGCTCGATGTTTCGGATGATGTTATCCAGGTCCTCGGGCGGCAGGCGCTCGAAACACGTCAGAAGATCGGCTCTGACAGCCTTCAAGAGGATCATGTCGTGGTTCAAGGCCGAGATGTCCTCACCGGTCTTTTCCATGTACCTCCTAGAGAGTTCGTCGTCCTTTCCCACATCATTTACGACTACAGAGGTGATGAGGGCGTATAATTCAGTCGGCGTCCTGATGGATTCCTCGTAGAAATTGTGCATCCACGCGAACGATTCGCGCGAGAGCCTCAGGGACTCGGCCTGGTTCGCGACAAAGGTATCGTACCGGTTGTCGAAAATCCATTTCATACACAGCGCCCCGACAAGCGTCCGATTGACCTCGTCGTAATCCTTCCCGTATAAGATGCGGGACGGGGACGTTGTCCCTAAGGACCCGGCGCCTGGCTGAGCACTTCCTCTGCGCTCCACGGTGTAGGCACGCTGAAGATGGACAAGCTCTTTCTGGAAATCGGCATGTATGAGACGCAGGAAATCCTCGTCAGGAAGAGCGAAAAGATCCTTCCGCTGTTTGGTGTATTCCCAGAGACGGCTGGCAGCCATGTTTCAAGGCTGCTTGATGAGAAGAGGAGGACGAAAAAAGTTGTAAAGAGGTGAAGTCTAACAGCCTTGTTGTATGTGGATGGGTGAATTCGAAGATCATGCCCGGCTTTGGCAATGACATCGAGATGCAGGAGGCAGGTAATATTAGTACAGGTACGGAGTGCACCAGGTACCTTTCGGAACACGGCTTTTAGAGGTACTGGGTACACAGCCCGGGAAGAGAGGTACCTAAAGTAAGGTGCATTAGGCTAGGTTGACAGGTGTGTGGATGTGTACTAACCTCGAAGTTGGGGTGCCCAGGTACCTGGGTCCCTAACCCGCATATGTACCTAAAGGGGTAGGATATTATACCTAGGTCGGTCCCTGATAGCACCCCCTCGGCATTCACCTTTCGGCTGATGACGACAATGCCTACGGCTATGAAGCATCAGGCCGTCCCAGCCACTGCTCACAGTCTCTACACTTACGCTTTTCAGGTAGTGCCCTCCCGGACGGGGAAGTGGTATACCGAGAGAAGGTGACAAGCCCTAGATGGAGAGAGAACTGCTTGATATAGGTAGTGACAAACGGTCCTACGTCGACCGTGGCCATGAAGATTTCCTCCAGTTCATCCACGCCTAGATCACCCAGTCCCCTATTCTCCGTCCGATAGCAAGTAAGTGACAAGAACAATAATACAAGGCACAGCGGTTTCGCACACTGTCATCATACTAAGGTCCTGTAGGAAGTTACCCACGAGCAAACCCGACCGTAGAAGGGATAATATTTTCTAGAAATCAAACAAGGTAAGGGAGTCACAAAATACAAGGATATATCTCTACGTACCAAAGCCATTTTCCTTCGCCCGTGGCCTAGACCTTACAGTCGTAATACAAGGGAAAATGTTTTTAAGATGGCCCTCGGCTCCCCTCGAAATCACACAACAGAAACCACCTCACCCCAATCTCGATGAATTTCCGGCGCATCCTAGTTTGTTACCTCTAGTGTTACACGGGGATGAAGCCCTGTACTAATAATTAGGCTATGAAGGTTAGGAGGATAATATCGGGTATTAAGGTCGCCGCTTCGGCGACTTACTAAGGAAAAGTCTTAAATAAGCTACGGATAACTTCGGCATTAAGGTACCTAGGTATTAGGGTACGAAGGTATTTCGGGAGCTATATTAAAACGAGATAGGGACTAAAGAAACTAAGAGAGAATAAGGACTTAAGAAACCCCCTATAGAATTATTAGTTAAAATTAAACCTATTTTAAGTATATTTCCTTATTATAGATAATTTTATATTACTTTTACCTTTATAACTTTATTATAAGTTAATAATAAGGAAAGCCTACGCCCCGGCCGGTATCGTACGCCGAAGCCGCTACTCCGGTACTATCGCTACTAGATTAACCTCGATCCTTTACTAAAGAACCGGAGCCGTAGGCGTTCCCGCTTCCGCGGATTACTACCCTAGGATTAGCGTCGGTTTCTATAGCGGAAGTAGCCCGGATAGTAGCTACGATTAACGAACTAAAAGCCGTAATAATAGAGTTAAAGGCTAAGAACGCCGAGCGATAGCGAACCTTTCCGGCGCCTTAATTAAAACTAACCCCCGAACCGACCGATAAATCCCTCGTCGTATATTAACCTTAAGAATACGAGGTAGTTATAGCGGATATCCCGGAGATTATAAACTCGGGGGTAGTTATACGTAATTTTCTATAATAAATCGTAGATTTATATAAGTAGATAAAATAAGTATATTAAAGCCTAGCGATATTAGCTAATTAAGTCGATATAAGATATCGATAAAATACGATCCTAAAGGAATAGTACGAATAATTACGGTAACTTTACTAAACCGCTACGGCTATATAAGCTACCGGTATCCGAACTACGAAGATATAGATCTATAAGTTCTAGAAGTAGGTCGTAGAGTAAAGTACTTACTTCGCTTAAAACGTATAGGAAACCGTAGCTAAGTTTACCCGATAAAATAAAGTACGAACAGCCGCTATAGATTAACTTCGAAACGCCGTATTATAAAACTAACGAGCCTTAACCTAATTACGCGAAGAATATAATAAATTAGTAACGGACGTTAGCTCCTAGGCTACGTAAAAGGATAAATAAATTAACGAGATCCTTAATAAGGAATACCTTATCCCCGGGGTTATAGAGGAAAAAACTTAGTTAATTAAAGACGACCTTAAGGCTTACGCGGTTAATTTAATTAAGGAGTATTAGTAACGACGATTAAGTAATAAGTTAACGGATATTAAATTTATTATCGTCGGAGCTAGTTAAAGGATAAGGACCTCTATTCCCGCGCCGGGCGCCCGTATTACGATAACGTTTACCGGGAAATATATTAATAGCGAGGTTAGAATAAGGGAAATTATTTCCGATGGCGTATTTTAAGACGCCGCGGCTAAACGTATCGTCGCGCGCGTAAGAATCCGTTTCTAGGATACCGCGGTAGGCGCTTTTATATTAAGAGGAGCCGGGCGAGAACTACCGTAACTACTACGGATCCCGCGGAATGCCTTAGGGGACCCGGGGGATTCCGACGACTCGGATAGCTTAGAATCTAGGGACCCGTAAAGGCCGCGACGCTTATCCGGCGCCCTTAAGGAACCTTAGGAGCCTTTCGACCCGGCCGAAGAACGTATGATCCGGGCTTAAACTAAAGCTATAAATAATCGACGAAGTATTACGGTAACGATTAATTTAATATACTTTATTAAGCTTACGGCTTATAACGATAAAGACTTAGTTAAGTTCCGATTATGATAAATTAAGGTTAAATCCTACCTTAAAACTTACGAAGAAAGTTTTACCCGGGATATTTAAAAGATTAATTAAATAGGATCGATACTTACCGAAAAGGCCTAGCTTTAGTATTAATAACGACTAGCTTAAGTAAAATGATTAATAGTCGTCGATACTTAGATAGGATATTCTTAAGTACTTTAAAAGCGGTTTAAAGACCCCGCCGAACGATATCGTAACTTTAAAAAGATATAAGAACTTAAATACTAAGGAGATATCTTTTAATATCTTACCGAGCTTATAGATCTTAACGACGTCGTTTAATAATCCGGAATTACCTTTTAGAATTATATCGTCCGTACTTTACCCGATGAAATAACGAAGCTAGTTTATTTACGATTAAGTAATATCCTTAAAAGCGACGAAGCCTTCCTTAGAGTAATTAAAGAAGCCGGTTAAATCTATAAAAATATAATAACTAACCTAAGGATTTCGGGAAAAGGAGGATCCGCTTCGTAGAAGGAATATACGAAAGCGGATTAATAATAGAGGTAACCCGTAAAAGAGACTTACTTTCGCTTAAGTTAACCGGTAAACGAACGTAAAAGTAAGGATAGTAAGAAACCCGTACCGGCTAAGGACTTACGATAGGTAGATAATAAAGAGGCTTTGGCTAGAATTAACTAGGCCGTTATCGATTAGCGAAAGAAAGATAAGAAAGCCTATTAGAGGTATGGAAGGGATAATTATTAAACCTTAGCCTGCTTCGTAAAAAAGGACTTAGAAGAACGGGACTTACTTACGCTACCTAAAAAGATTTCATCGGGAAAAAGAGGAAGGGAAAAGCCCGAATTACTACCTAATAAAAGGGCTAGGATCGATATTATTATACGATAGGAGGAAATTCTTTCCCGTATTATAAAGCTATTCGATTTCGATAAAGAACGGGATTTTTAAATGCCCCCCCGTAAGCGTTAACGGAAGAAAGGGGCGATAAAAATAACGTAAAGATTACGGCTATAAAACGGCCCGGAACGCTAGAAGTAACGGAAGTAGTATTAATAGCGAAGAAATTACGAGTCCCTTAGCGTAACTTAGACGAGTTAAGGTTAGGAAAACGGCTTATTTATACGATATAGATAAAATATTAGGGAAAAGAATACCTCTTGCGAGTCTTTCTAAATATCGGTAGCGAGGTATCTCTAATTAACGCCGCTAAAGTCGAGTAATTACGCCTTTTTATTAATTAACGCTTTAAGCCTAGAACCTTAATAGGATTTAACGGCTCGGAGATTTCGTTAAGAGGACTTTAATATATAAATAAAATAAAGCTCCGTAGTTACGAGTATATCTACCGTATCGCTTAGGAAATTAATAAATTAAACGAAGAGGTCGATGCTATCCTATCGTAATAATAAATAGAAGAATATCCTCCCTAAGGATTATTTATAGACGGACGGTTATACTTTAACTCGCCTTAGTACTAGAATTATCGCTTACGGCTAGTTCGTATAGGAACTATACGAGAAATAGAGGCTTTAATATAAGTACCGGAATAATTTCGTAACTTCGTTTTTATTATAACTAAGGAAGCCGGATAACGGTTTCTTAATCGGTAACCGTAGGACTACGCTATCGAGCTTCGTCCGGGGATTATTCCCCCGTAGGGACCCTTATATGCTATAAGCGGACGATAGTGAGGAGGAGCAGAGCGTACGCGATACTGGAGGCCCGGATAGGTTCACTCGAAAGTATATTCTATCGGAGATTATAGTACGTACGATAGTCCAAGATAGATAAAACTAATGTTATTATATTAATCGAGAGGTAAGGAATCTAATGTAGTTATCGTATCTTAGTTATGCCCCTTAGTCGTAGAGATATAGTAGTCGCTAGCCCGAAGGTATAAGAGGTAAGGGGAAAAAAGGGGCAAAACGCAAAAGTTATTTATTCGGCTATAGCGGTACGACGAAGTAACTTAAGCGCTTATAACTAAAATAAATATACTAATCGAAGAACGACAAATCTAATGGTAAAAACGAATCTTTAATTAAGGTAAAAATAATAAAGATAGTAATCTAGCTAGGTAATGAATTAAATAATAAGCATAGTATGTCCCGTACTTACGGGAGCTATGGTTACTTTATATAGGTATAAGGCCTATCGTAACGTATTACGTAATATATTAAAAAGGCATGTCTTACCGTACTACTATAGCCTTCCTAGTTTAATTATACCGTAAGGGATAATTAAACTAAAAAGGGTAGTACGATATGTCCCGATTAATATCTTCCTTTAAAAATTACCGCGAAACTTTATTCCTCCGGCTATTATCTAACTACTA